AAGACTTTGTTTTTAGGGTGCAGCTCAACCAACCGAACAATACTTGAGGATAGACCCAGCAAGGCTAATGAATGGTCTTTTGATAACGTACACATTAGGCAAATCGTTCGAATAACGTTTGAACAAAACAAGACTACTTTTCGCTTTATCGTCAGTCTGCTTGTCAGTGTTCCGGACAAGAATCGATTCGCCTGAATAGCCAAATTTAGTAAAAACCGTGAAAATGAGTCGCAGTGTTCGCGGGTTCAAACCTGAAGTGCGCTACAGTTGCACAATTGGTAAAGGCTTAACACTTATCGATCGGGCTGCGGCCACCATCTCCCTATTTCTGCTGTGGCATTCGCCTTAAATAATTCTTTTTTTATCCAACTCTTTTTAAAATTCTCGAATCGAAGATCATATCCTAGTGCGAGCTATTGATCTATAATATACAACATTTGGCTGTGTATGAATGGAGGTCTCTGCTGCTATCATCGTTTTTGAGTCCAGGAGGGATATAACGAATTTGCTTGGATTTCACTACTACTCTCTACCGTCCTTAAACGATTTTTTCAATGAGTCAATCGCCCTGTAAGATCTTGACAAATGACCTTCAGTGTTCCTATTTATGAAACCAAGGTTCACACACTCTTAAGCTGAATGGCTTTCAACATAGCGTTCTTCGGATTTGGCAAATGTAAAAATATTTGGACTTAATCTTATAGTGTCTTTCACTTCAACTCGTATACGTACTACCGATTAACAGACATATGAGATAAATTGTTCTTGTTTAAGACAACTCTTGCAGATGTTTTCTGGCCAGTCCCAGCCTAGAACTCTGACGAATTTCTATACACTAATTGTACAAGCATCTAAATAGTCTTACGTCAGTTGAGGGATGAGTTTGCAGTTCTCCTTTTCGATCAACTTTTGAAGACAACGTATGAATTTGGCTCATATTTGTACCGTGATCTCAAAAAAAATTATCTCCCTTCGTGTTTTGTCACTTGACCTAAGCTTGATAACGAGAATCATAACCCAATTTTAAATCTAGTTGATGAGAGAGAAAGAGAAAGAGAGAGAGAGAGAGAGAGAGAGAGAGCGAGTTGTGTTATTTTTAAAGCGATTTTCATTTCCTCTTCGACTAATCAAACTAAGACCTTTGAACTTTTCTTCACATTTCGTCAACTTTCGCCCATTTTCATACAAGGAACATTTCTTTTTATGTTCTATGTGCTTGAACTTTGTCAGTGCATATCTAATAGTATTTTTATCAAAAAAAAAAAAAAAAGAACTCGCGTTTAAATTTTGCATTTTGCCAAATAACCGTTACTTACTAAATGGATTCATTGATGATGACTTTGTTTAGATGCGCCATACATAAGCACTTACCCAGATTTTCGTTTCCATTTTTAGTGCTTTTCCTGAGTGCTTGGTTTACAACGTAAAAATAACATAAACAATAAAACAATAACAACAACAACAACAATAATAATAATAAAAAATAATAATAATGGGAGTTTTGTAATGGTATAGATTGTATTTTGTATTTGTTCGTTGCACGGTTTAATGCATACTAAAAAGTTTTAGGCGAAGAAGCAAAACAAGCAAAAAACAATCAAATTGTGAAGAAATACAAACGAAACTAAACAACCAAAACAAAAAACAAATGTTGTTTTGTGCTTATGCTTCGCGATTGTGTTGTGCTTATGCTTTAATAGTGAACAACACTCATTTGACTGTTACATGATTTTGATGGGAATACATCTGAATGAATGAATGAATGCATTTTCGTATTGTTATTGTATTGTTTTCCTCCGTACAATTAACGCTTAGAATTCGAGTGTACACTAATTTTATCACACCATTTTGTAACACCTTCATTAATCGTCATCACCTTCATCACGCCTTCACAACGTTACGTAATGGAAACAAATGAAGACTAGCCCTGCCTTTCTCAAGCAAGATAATCATAGTGAATTGATTCGATCACTATCACTATGATCTGTATTAATTATCGCCTTAGATAAGTAGTGTGCCCTTAAAAACAGAATATAATTCATTTTACATGTCTTTCATGCAGAGAGAAACATGCAAGAAAGATTTTTTTCTTTCTTATCGTTGCATTATTGTCGAAAGCAAGCAATGCGTTGCTGCTTTGCTTTTTATCTTAAATTTAAGAGAAGAAAAAAAACAAAAACAGATAAACAAATAGAAAGAAAAACAAATCGTTAAAGCTGATTAATTGTCTCTGAAGAAAAACAAAAAAAAAAAAAAGACAAAAAATTTTAAATTAACTCAATGGGAAACATGTTTTCACCCAAAGGCTTGAGAAATTAAAGTCAAACGTTAACATATGCATAACAATTAATAGGGAAGATTATGTTTAGCTGAAGCAAAAAAAAAAAAAAAAAAAAATTAAACGTAATTTAATCGGATTTTTTAAGTTAAACCAACAGCTTAACTCCAAAACGAATCCATAAAAGTGCACGAAATGAATTCAAATAAACTCAAGGGGATATGAAAAAGAAGGACAATCTCTCATAAATGTTCCTTTCATGTAGAAAAGAAAAAAAACCTGATTATCGTATAAATTCGTCAATAAAATCCGATAAAAGCTGTGTACGTTTGTCCACTCGAAAAGCAGGAGACTTACGCCTATGCTGTTACCTGCAAATGAATAAAGTTTTCTTCGGTAAGTATTGATGAACAAATCAGTCACTAATTTTATGCGGGTGTGTTGTCGTCATATACGACAGGAACTAATCAAACCTATGTGTACTTAAAAAGCAATCCAAGTCGGCCAAGCAGTCTCCGTATTGCAACCTGTCTTTCCGTCAGCAAATCAAGTGTTTTAATCAAAATTTATGTACTCTGAGGAGTCAAAGTCGTCCCTCGTTTCGATCTCACATATCCTTCGCGTCAAAAGGGAGATTAGGGAGGTTAGGTTTAAGTTAGGATTAAGCTTCGATTAGGGAGGTTAGGTTTAAGTTAGGATTAAGCTTCGATTGTAGTAGTAAGTTGACATGACAGGCGACGGGATTGGGGAAACCCGATCAGAAAACAGCTGTTCACTGGGATAAGGTAGGGACGTTGTCAGAGACAACCTCGACGGAAGTTCGAATCAGGTAACTTCTACCGTCGTCCGAGTCGAAGAGTTCTGAATTGATTTCACGCGAAAGTTTTATTCTCTTGTTTTCTCTGTTCTCCTTGGCTAAGACACCGTCTTAGTAAATAGGAAATTTGAGGAAGTAAAATAAAAAAATAGCGAGCGAAACAATCCCCAAAAAAATAAATTTTCTTGTGAGAAGGATATCTGGCGACCGGGGAGTTAAACCTGCCTCATAGCATGTATAACCCATGATAGACGGCATACAAGGCTTATAGTGCATTGTACAAACGATAAGAGGCATACGAAAGCCCTAAAAACTGACCTTGATTTAGCACAGTCCTGACTGCTTGGCTCAGCCATGTACGCAATATTTTCATAACTCATGCTGTGTTAAGCTTGTTCTTCTTTACAAAATGGAAAATAGGGTTAAGAAAAAGTTCCCGATCTATGAACTCATGACAAAGATTTCGGCTCTATTTAGCAATATCCAGATCAGTCGCAGCAAATGAGGCATGCCATGTAGCCATTATTTTTATAGCTATCAGTAGGGGATTACGAATTTGCCCGCATTTTGTATATATATGAAAATAAACCCGAGAGATGCTACGATATCTATTTATACTTAACATTGTAGCAATATTTGCTGATCTATTCATTCGTCTGTCAATCCGTCCGTCTGTTCCTCTGCTTCTTTGCTCATATCTGATCTGCTGATCGGCTTGTCTGCGGAAAAGTCCATCCACATCTACCTGTTTAAATTTTTATCTGTCTTTTGATGTGTACAGTGGCGAGCAAACGTGGATGCACAATATTAAAAATTATATCAAAGCCATACAATTCCTGTAATTTTCGCATTATTATTTCCTAACTAACATTAAAGAATAAAAGAAAATGCAATTCATAAGCAAGTAAATAAGAACAAGTTAATCAAATCCAGTTTTATAAGTTTTGTTCTTATCTTTTTCAAGTATTGATACTTTTGAAGTTGTTTAGATTCCTCTTGCAATTTATGTCTAATGTTAAAGATGCAAGGAAAGGTTAGTAACCCTAGCCCCAGTTGAAAGAGGACATTCTTCAAAATAGGACATGCTTCTTAGAAAGTTGGCATGTCTCGTCGAACAGGACTTTTAAAAGACAGTGAACATCATGCTAGATCTCTAAGCGATGGAGATTAGAAGCAAAAATTCGATTAAAACTTGGAAAGCAGACGCAATGACACTGTATAAGAGTGTGGACAACGCATCGGCCATTATAAAAAATATTCTTAGTTGCAGTAATAAGAAAGACGGACACTTTCCTATTAGAAAAAAACACTAAAGTCCGTTTGGAATTTTGTAAGCATAACCAAAAATGGTCCGTGAAAGATTGGAAACGAGTAATATGATCAAAGGAAATCAAAGTTAACAGATTCCGCTCTGATAAGAAGGCATCGGGACCTGACTAAAGCTCGCCAGAAATCGTGCATAATTTCCTTGCATGTGTAACACCTTTGATTAGCTTTCTTAACAACCCTTTTGTGTTCAACTAATGGAACATTACTGTTTTTTCTTCCCCTTAAATATAGTTACACACTTCGCTTCATTTCGTCACCCTTAAAAATCATGCGTCAGAGGCCTTACAAGGTACATAAAATATATTTCTTTAGTAAAAAGAAAAAATATATTGAATAGTGAGTGACTAATACTGTCACGACTCAACGTTTTATATAGGAAATAACAAAAGCTTTGGATTATCTTAAGTCTTTCTTGAAAAAAAACTATATATTTACTCAATTGTTTAGTGAAAGCCTAAAGAGAGAAGGAAAGATTTTGTTCAAGATAAGAAGAAGAAGAAGAAGAAAAGTTCAATTAATATGAATCAACTAAACAAATGATGTGTAATGTTAATGATAAAAAGAACTCCAACTTACCGTTAGTAATAAGCGCATTACATGAAACTTAGCATCTGATGATGAAGTTTTTTGTTTTTTTTTTTTTTTTTTTTTGTGCCACCTTTACAGCTTTTTTTATTTTTATCTTCTTTTCTTTTTTCACTTTATTTAACGCGTTATTTTCCCTTCGCGATAGAAAATCCGAAATTTCATTCAAAATACAATAATTTTTGCATTGTTCTGTTTCCTCAATTCATGTTCATTTGTTCCACTATGATTTTGTAAAGAAAAGCCAAAAGCATTTTGCACTCGCTTCCAAGCAAATATATGAGATGCCGACAAATATCGATGACGTCATCGACATGAAGAGAACAAATTCATTCCAGAAGATTTTTGCAAGTGAGAACAGTATTAAGCCGATTAAATGCAGAAAGCTAGACAATATGTATATTAAAAAATAAAGGCCGGTCATTGCGTGGAACAGAAATTTTGCACAGGAATATTGTATTTCTAAAAAATATTTCTTTTTTCGAAATCTATTTTATTTTTTTTTTGCTTTTTTTTGCCTTATATCAAATCCGAAATAATATTTTTTGTTTTGTTTGTTTTTATTCGTTTTCTCCAGATTTGTAAAAATTTCCTACAATTTATAACAACAAAATCAAGCAAGAGATTTAAGATCGGTCGGGACCGAATTTTTTATACCCATCAACATTTACCCCAAAGAAAGACAAAAGAAGTAAAAGAACAAAATTCTCATGGAAGTGGGTGGAGTTGAGTTGAGTTCTATTTTTAAAATAAAGGTTTTTCACGTAGAGGTATGTGCGCGTTGTAGGCGTGACCTTTGAAAAATTTAGGTCAATTCCAAATTATTTTGTACATTTTTGCGTGATACCTTCATTTTCACACACAGGCAGAATATTTATCACAAATGGTACAAAGCTGCGCGAACGGACAGATGGACAAACGTTGAAGATTTGAAACTGCCGAAGGGTGTATGTACTTTATGGAATTTTTGAAGATTGTATCTGCGCGTGATACACTAGGATATTGGGTAGGCGTGGTCAACCGCGCATAGAATATGCGTTCAACCAACCAATTTTCCATTTCTTTTAAAAAACAGAAGTGTTCTGAGTTTACTATAGGCATGTCCTTCGACCGATTTGGCCCTTTTGCAATACCAACCTACGCACAAGAACTTCGTAGGTTTGCACAACTTAGCCTTTATCGATTAATCGCATATTTTGTAGAAATTCTACCCTACTTTCGCCGGCCGGTATATACGAGATTTGCTTTAAGATGAACTGAGACATAATAAAAAGAATGAATGAAAGCATTTCTAAAGTAAGCATTTTGGTGATTTATTCCCCTTACGCCCTGTTCTGTGTGCTACTTTGCTGCGTTGGTTTTTAAAAGTCACACATCTTTCAACTTTGTCAATACTGTGGATATTACCCATCTGGCCGTACGGAAATTAGAATTTTTTTAAGCATTTTTGAAATATCCTTTAAAATGCACACAATGAAAAAAACTCTCTAGAAATACTTATTCTCTAGCGAATTATTATACATCGTCGTCGTCGACTGTATATCTTTCAAAGAAGAATAATTTTATCTGATCCTGAATTTCTTTTATTATCTTTTTCCACACAATTCGCTTAAGTTAAAAAACATTTTAAATAAAAAAAAAAATCTATCTTAGACTTTATTTCCTCTCACCAATAATTTCCTATCTCAATTATTATGAAATCATTTTTGCCTTGGAATTGACCATTTGATTTCTTTTAACCAGTTTATGTCTTTTAATAAAAAAAAAAAACAAAAAAATTTATGACAAACAGCAAAGAAACATAACTAATATCAAAGAGGAAATGATTGTCATTTAAACTTTTTGTGTGTTGTCGCTACTCTAATAATCATTAGCCAAGAACGTACACATACGCGATCATTTAAAGTATCTACAAACACCTATCGGAAATCATTTATTTGAAAAGTGAATATTTTTCTTAAACGCAGTCGCTCTTAATGCATCGCTTGAGATTCTGGAATTTAAACTTGTTGATCTGTCAACGTTTTCTTAAGTCATAAAAAATTATAATAGAAAACGAGCACTCATCGCCCGTTCCGAAATATTTCGGAATTTATCCGTAAACTCCTCGCCATGCCAGTCGGGCACACAATGTATTGAGAACGGGATAGCAATACAATTTTTTTGATAAACGTGCATTTCGAACGCATTTGAAAGGTTGTTAACATATGTCTGATATCCGTCCGATTGATTGATTTCAAAAAAATTGCACAATTCACAAACTCTTTTCATTCATACATACATATCTATGTATCTGTATATAATAATGTGCTTAAAAAGTAAGTTAAATTGTGCGCTTATATTGAGTATTCGAATAGCAATGTATATCAATACATATATATGTATATATATATATATATATATATATATAGAAGTAAATTATGCAGTTATATGTGATATATGTAATATATTTTTATTTGACCGCACACTCAAGGGGTGCTGCTTGTAAGAACGATGGTGGTCAGGTGGACGGGTTATGTAGACGCAAAAGCAAAAGAAGCGAGGGTAGTGGTGTTCGTAACATACGTCTGCTGAGAGTATACGTTTCTTATAACTTTTTTAAAGATTCTTTTTCAAGCCTTCTTATGCCTTTCTCAGGAGATTCTTTTTGTAAACACAATAGCTGCCTGTTATTCAATGAATGGCTGATTCAACAAGTGAAGAAGGTCTCACAACATCTTTACACTCGCTTTACATACGACTACTACTACTTTTTGCATAGGTCAAAAAAAATCTAAGACTTTGAACTAATATTGACTTTGGACGCATTCTTTTCCTTTACATTTGTTATAAAAAAAAGAAAAGGAAAGATTTTTTCTTCTTTCTTTTCCACAATTTCTAATTACATGTTTTTTTTTAATTTACAAATTAATTGAATTACTGCTTTTTTATGTTTCGAGTAATTAAATTGGTATTTTTATATTTTATTATCTTATTTTATGTTCAGTAGAAGACTTGAAAACAAAAAAAAACACGTTTATGATTGTTTGCTATTTAGACAATTTTTACCTATAACTATTTCCATTTTTGATTTGTGCGATCTTATGAACCATTTATGCACCGCGTAAAACGTGGTCTAGATGTACCTCTGCTATCCATTGTGTAAACCTGGTGTACCTCTGTTATTAGTTTATGGATCCAAAAAAATATTCTTTGCTTAAAAATGTAACAAATTTTCTATACTTTCCTCGCCACCGTTTAGAAACTTTATATATATATAGTAGAAGCGATCAAAAAATTGAAAAGAAATTCGCTTAGATAGATGTTTTAAAAGTTCAGATGTCAATACCGCGTAAATCTGCCTCTGTCAAGTCAAACGCGATCAATGGAAATTAAAAACAAAGTTAACATCAATGGAAGTACACACACACACGCACACACACACGCTCGTATATATCTAACTTAGATGATACGAATCTAAAATTTGTAGCGAGATGAGATGATAATTTCAGTACCTTTCCAGTTATTATTATTTTCATAAGCATGCACATGTACATGTACAAAGATAACCTCATTAAAACCGCAGACATGCTTGCATATATGCCTATGTGTATGTTTTTCTTTTTATTATGGTTAAACTAACCACAATATTATTTTCACACTTGAAAGAGACGCATAATAAAAAAAAAAAAATCAATTCTGTAATAGTAGTAGTGCGATGTAAATAATAATAAGCGATTTAATAATAATATTCGGGAAACCTTTCTTCATTTATATGGGACATGCGGCGTTGAATGTGTTAATAAAAAACTCCATAATATCTAACCGCAACAATTGATATATTTATATATACATATATATATCTTCCTATTCGACTCTTTAATATGGGCACAGAGATTGACTAGAAATTTCGTAGACCGGCAGTAGAAAATCGCTGTAAGATTTTAGTAAGGGATTTCTACAATCAAGAGATAAACGTTTCCATTGATGTTTACAGAAGCTTAAGTAATCATCTTTGTTCACGATGTTCTGCAAGCAACATCATTGCAGATAAACGAGAATCCGCTTTAAACGAAAAGCGACCAAAAAAATTATTTTATAAGAACATTAGAGGCAACTAACTTTCAATGCAATTTCTAGGTCGAAGGATGTGGGATGGAAGAAATATTGCATGCTTGAAGGAGGCAGGCAGCAATGCTTTCGCTTTAGCTCCGACGAACAATGAGTTTAGGTACTCCTGGGGTCATTTTAGAAAATATGTGGTTTTCTTTTCAGACTAAGCAATGAAAAAGGCGGAGTTGATTGAAAATTGTTCCTCACATTTGGAATTCGCAAATGAGTAAAAACGGGATGTAATCGTTTCTTTTAGTTAATTGCTTCCCCTCTCCATCGAGGCTTCACTTAATGCGAGTAAGATCACTTTAACGTGCTAGCATAAGTCAACTTGACATTGGACAGTCCCGTACATTCTCTAGATCTGCCTGAATCAAGATTGTTCCCCTCTACTTCCCAAATACAAAAAAAATTTCTAAATAGCAAATGATTTTCCTAAAATGATGAATGCGTAGAACTTTATGGGAATACCACAAAATGGTAGTTGAGAGGCACATGGGGCTTAAGAGCGAAAATGCTGCTGAATAAAGCAATGTCGTCTACTTTCATCTACGCTTTCTTATCTACTCGATAGATCCTAGTAAGAATTAGTGACTACATTTCGTGTCCATATCAAGTTAGATAACGGTGTTGTTTCAACATTATACGAACTCTCTATAAGTTTTTGAACGCTAGTCGAACGGACAAGAATTGCCTTTTTCTGTACTACTTTACTGAGACAGCCACGTCAGGCAATCAGAGGTTGAAAGATTAGACATGATTTTTTTTTTTTTTAAAACGCATATCGTATATCGTATGCATACATAGGCAGGCATATATCCACTTGTACTGGTGCAGAAAAAAAATATCTATTTCTTCACAAATACTACATTTGCAAACTTACAACCAAACTTACATTCACACATGTCTTTGGATATATATAAGCATATGTGTAAACACGAATGTGTGCAACTAATGTGTCTAACACTACCTCGTATCGTTACCACAAAAATAAATCAGAGCATAAAGTAGGAGACGGCTTGATTTTAACACGAATAAATAATAAAAGAGAACAAGAAAGAACTTGGACAGGTTCTGGTATTCTGGCGTTCGGATGTCGGTTTGTATCTTTATATCTTAAACTACAAGTTCCTATACGTAAGTGTAAGTGTTTAAGCGTGTGTGTGTGTGTGTGTGTGTGTGTGTGTGTGTGTGTGTAAATGATTGCAACACTTCGCTTAAAACCTGAACTAAATAATCGGTTAAGTATAAATGCGGGAGAGACGCGACGGATGGGAGAATTTAGAGAATCACCCATTTTTTTATTTATCTCAATTTTCTTCTCGTGTTCTCATTCACAGTTTTAAAGTTACTATTGTGCAGCATAAGTGTTTTGGATATAATTCGTCGTTTTTGTCTTTTCTTATTTAAAAGCAAAATTATTTTCAAACATTTTATATGAAATGGATTTTCGAATTGCAGAAAATCGCATAAGATTTTTATAGAATTTCAATCCATTGTTTTCCCCTCTCCCTCTTAGTTTGTTAAATAAAACCCGTTTTTATATTTCATTTTATTTTTTTTTTTTTTTTTCTTTCGCTTTTTGTTTTTTTTGTTATGAAATATCTTGCGATGCTTTTGATGATGGTACAAAACACAAATCTGAAAACAATCGAATACAAAAAAAAAAAAAAAAAAAAAAAAC